TCAACAGCTCAACTCTCTCTCTAGAAAAAAAAAATCTGAGAAACAAAGATGCCGAGGCGCTGTGAGATCTGTTGTGAGATTGTGATTGCAATTTTGCTCCTTCCGCTGGGCGTTTGTATCCGGCATGGCTGCTGCACCATAAGTTCCCTTTCTTTCTCCTCCGTCTTCTTCATCTTCTAGTGGCAGATTTGATATTATTAATGGTGAAAATTTGAAATTTTGGATTGGTGGTGGGACTACTCCTAAACAACTATCAGCAAATTGCCTCTGTTTTTTCTTATATGGCAGGCAGATGAATATATGTGTATATTTTTATAAACAGTGTCGTTAAATTTCATAAACAGTGTAGAAAGTTTCATAAACAGTGTCTTAAATTTCATAAATAGTGAAGAAAGTTTCATAAACAGTTTGTGTGAGGATTTGCATGGGTCCGCGCGTCAGAATTTTTTTTTATAATTTTTTTTAATATTATAATTATGTCATTTTCATTAAAATTAAAGTTCTTTTGTCCTTTTTATTAAAATTTAATGATTTTTCATTAAAATTTAAGTCTTTTTAATTAAATAAAGTTATAACATGATTTTTTATTAAAATAAACTTAGTTTATGTCCTTTTCATGAAAGTTCCCTTTAAAAAATGGCTCCCAAGTTACAAAAATCCCTTGAAAATTCTCGACCAAAGCCAAAATTTGAATACCTGAAGGGGAAAAAACCCACGATTTGGATTCTGAAACGGAAAAATTTATCGGGCGAACTTACAATTTGAGTGCATGTCCCTTTCTCTCTCCCAAATTTGAAAGTGAGAAATGGTTTGAAATTTTTACAGACTTTGCGTTCATCACGAGGAATAGAGAGGTTGAGGAAGAGAGAGAAAATGTTACCTTTAATTGTTATTAATTGTGGAACCAATATGAGGCTTAATCGAATAAGTGGAAAACCACGTGAATAAAGCATCTTTCAGAATTCCCACATATATTATATACCCACCACAAGAAGTTGCCGATTATCTTGTCGTATTCAGAAACGAATTTTTTGCGAATCTTCAATCTTAGCCGTCCAGTGATCAGATCGTGCGGCCACGAGTGGCATCGTGGTTTCCAAATGGAAACGTCCTTGAATTTTTTCTTTAAAATGCAGCTCCTGCTTTTCCACCGCCTTATTAAGTGTCGGTAGGTTACGCGACCACTTTTGGCTCTGTGGAGTATGGAAAACTTTTGTCTCAAATGCTTCCACTCCCGCGTCATTTTAAATTCTTCTTCACGGGTTGTAGCATCATTTTAATAGTCTATCCTTTCGCGTTCCTTTCTTTCCTCTCTTCTTCTATATTTTCTTCCATCTTCTCATCAGGCCCTATGTCGTTTCTCAAGTTCATATGTCAATATTATTATATTATAAACTTTAGCTTTTGTTGGTTGAAGGAGTTTGACATGTGTTTTTTTTTCTTCTATCTTTTCTTGCACCTTCTCATCAGGTACTATGTCGTTTCTCAAGTTCATATGCCAACATTATTATATTATAAACTTTCGCTTTTGTTGATTGAAGGAGTTTGACAAGTGTTTTTTTTTAGTCGAGTGATAACGTTAGTATGTTAGATGGTAGATTAACCATCAAATTCAAACACACGCCGTCATGTAATGACATAACATATTTCCATCACTGTGGTAAAAAACTTGTGTTTAGGTCACACAACCACCGCCATTTTTTCAATTGTCTTCTGAACCACTCAGTGCCATAACAGTAGATACCGCCATGACAACCCACGAAGCCCCCTCTATTTTGCCCGTCGACGTTTTGTCAGGCTAATGCAGCACCGGAATAACTTAGACGCTGTTCCCTTAAAATATGACAAAGAGCAACTGCAGGATGGTCGTAGGTAACGGTAGCAAACTTCCAAAATTCTAAGATTGCATAGAGACTGTCCGCGAGAAGCCTCACTCCGGCAGCTTGCTGTAGTTTTGCAGATTCTCGATCCAGTTACAAACTTCCTCCACCAACTTGACCAGATATATATATATATATCTATCTATCTATCTATCTATATACACTTGACTTGCCTTGACATGTTACTAGCATACGAGTAACTGTTTCTTTTGGCCTGCTGACTAGGTTTGTCTTGAGTTCTTTCATCGAGAGAATTTGTTTTACGAGTGTTATCTGTCTTATTTTATTTATTATTATTTAATAGGTTTAAATTTTGAAAATTTGTTTTTCAATGATTGACTTTATTGAACATTGAGCAATATTTGCACTAACCTTGAAAGTTGGAACATGATGTTAACGATTCAAAACGTTTATATTCTTCAATTCACTAAAAGAGCATGTTTTTGAAAAAGAAACTCCGAAAAACGGTTTCCGATGATGAAAAATTAAAGCACGTAAACAACAATCGGACGATATAGTCAGTCATTTAGTACCATTTACAATGATAACTTGGTTTACTATTTCAATTAGTGTTTATGTCTTCGCTTTTCATAAACATTCGTAACGAATCACATTTATTCATAAACTATATAACATTTATCAATATGATGTAATCCACAATTAAACAACAGCACACAAATCATCGTTATATATACTTTTTTTCTTTCGATATGTTGTTGTGTACAGAACCCAGATTTACTCTGTTAGCTAAGACAAACAAATAATTCCCCTAAAAAAATTCTGGAAATTAGTACAAAAAATGGAATTACTTCCATGAAAGTGTTCATGGCCACCATAAATTCACACCTTTGTAAATACATAAATTCAAAATTTAAAAACAAATCAGGCTATTAATTGTTTCTACCCTCCAAGTCAGCCCACGGATAAAACAAATCAGACTATTAATTACCAACTGCTCAGGTGTAGAGTTTTATTACAAAATGTATCTATATTAGTTAGAATTGGTCTATTTTATAGAATAATTGTTAATTATCCTTTTACATTTGGGTTTATTATTTAATCACTTTTGTTTATTATGTGGTTGTTGTCAAGCTACTTCTCAAATGCTTCCAAATTTCAACCTAAAATAATCTATAATTGATAGTAATCACTTTCCTTGCCTAGAGGATCCTTGCCAGATCCTCTTTATGATGATTCCGAAGATTCTCCAATCTCATCCATTCATCATGTATCGTACGGTTAGTTTTCATCAAGTACTGTTTATATTTAGTTTTAAATTAAAAAATTACAATGATTTCTGACTGCACGTATGTAATTTGAAAATCTCCGGATCCTCTCTCCTTTCCTTGCACCTTCCCGCCCGGCTGTATGTTATTTCTCGTGTCCATATGCAAACGTTATTATATTATAAACTTTTTGTTTTTGTTGACTGAAGGATCTTTTAGATCACATGCTTTTGTAATGAGACAAACTTTTCGAAAGTTGATTGGTTAACCAATTTGTTTTATAAAGATTGCTTTATTTTATTTTATTGTAAATAGGATTGTAAATAGATTTAAACATGTATGTAAATAGTATTGTCTATCGTACACAAGGTTTTAAAAGATTTTAGCCGCTAGTCAGACGGCGGACTGAGCCCTAGCGCCTAGTTAGCTAGGCAGAGTCTAGGCGGGTGCATAGGCGGATTTAACTAAATCCGTTATATTTCGTGTAAGTAAGTGTTTGTTTATACTTTAAAATATATATAATTTTATCATAAACTACAAAATCAAATGACATATATATTATGAAGTATCTGAACATAATGAATGAGGAACAAGCATATAATGTGTGCTTATTTAAATATTTAACAAGTTTCTTACAATTTATTAAAAAAATAAAATCAAAAATGAAAGTTATCTATTTTCTGTCTAAGTGAGTCGCAATCTAGGCGGGTCTTGGCGGGTGTCTAGACGATTTAGGTGGGCACCTTAGCAGTTCTAGGCGACCTTTCTCAATTTTCAAACGCATAAGCATTAATATAATGATTGTACACATATTTAGAACTTTCTACATATTTATACAATTTTACAACCCGTAGCGTCGCACGTACACCCTCGCTAGTTCAATTCTAAAACCTACAAACACTAACAATTGCAAAGTAAATAAATGTAGAACATTTATTAAAAAAAAAAGTTAACTAAATGTGTTTTTTGTGTGATAGTTGATACAAACAAAACTTAACAGAAATATGGTTTTTCCTCGATTCAAATGATTCAAGTTTTATCGTGCCACCCTACACCTGCCCCATCTACAACTGTGTATGCACCGCTAGAAATAATCAGTGAACAAATCTAAGGGTAAAAACTTCGATCTCCTCTCGACCACTTCCCCACGACTAAGGGAGAAAATTAAACTTAATACTACATTAGTGGTAATTGAACTGCACGTGGAACAGGTGGACCTAGCTAAATTAATAAGGTCATTCTAGCCAATTATGAATAAAAACCACGTGTTAGTTCCAGAAATTTTGAAATTATTTTTTATTCCACAATTTATCTCTCCAATATTTCATACAGACTATCTGAAAGAAGCCTCCCCTCAATCCATCCTACAGCAAACTTGCCAATCCACAAATTATTAACGAATGATGAGTGGAATATAGATTAAATATTAAAATTGGTGAAAAATAAAAGGAAATTGGTATTAGCACTTCAAAAATTTCATTCTACACTCCAAACTTTCTATATTAGGAAAAAAAATACAATTATAAGGAGTGTATAATGAAAATTTTAAAGTACTAATAACGTTTCCAAAAAAAAATCTTAAGAAATAATCACTACTAGACTTCTAAACTGAAAAAAAAAAGTCCACTTGTTAAGGAATCCAATGTGTAATAAGATAATTTTATTACATTAGTTATTTAGCACCAATAAGCTTTGGGGTCGTTACTTGCATATATAATCATATCATGTTTTATAATTATACATATTCATTGTTGACTAGGTGAATAGCTAATCATGACCAAGAAGTCATTGTTATAATATAGTCTTTGTCCTTTTATCCTCTCTTCCCCTTTTTAAACCGACAAAGAGTTCCGACGCTCTCAAAGACAATTGTGGCATCCAACAATTTCTTTGTCTCCTGATCATTCATTTACTTGCTCAGGCCACGTTCCTCCTCCTTCCCTTTCTCACTTTCCACGCAGACCTCTCTCTCCTACCTCACGCACTCTCTCTCTGTCGCTCTCGCTGTGCAGAACACTGTGTGCTAACGGTGCACAGCCTTCCTGGCCGCCCAAACCAAGGACACCACGAGCTTCGTCTTGTCCTCACGAGCTCAGAGCACCCAGCCTCACTTTGAACTTCCTTCCCGATCGTCGGGATCGAAGCTCAGATAGTCCACAACTTTCCGGCCATTTTCCGGCCAAACCAAGGGTACAAGTCCTTTTGTCTCGTTTCGAGGTAAGATTTTCATTCTTGAATTACTCAATTTGGTTGAGAAATAAGGAAGTTATGACGATTGAAAATGTGTAGAAAAAGGGCCAAAACCCAGTTTCCGGCGAGTTTACTCTGGCCAGCTTTTTGTGACCTGAACTACTGAAGTGCCATAACGGTGCCATGACAGCCCACGAAGCGTCTTCTTCTTCCTCCTCCAAGTCAAAACTTTGGAATTACGACGTGTTCTTGAGCTTCAGAGGCGAAGACACGCGCAAGGGCTTCACGGGCCATCTCCACGCGGCATTAAAAGACAGGGGATACCAGGCTTATATCGATGAGGACGATCTAAAAAGAGGGGAAGAAATAAAAGAGGAACTGTTCCGGACAATTGAATGGTCGAGGATCTCCATCATTGTCTTCTCAAAGAGATATGCGGATTCAAGTTGGTGTCTTGACGAGCTGGTGAAGATCATGGAGTGCAGATCCAAACTGGGGCGACATGTTTTGCCAATATTCTATCATGTTGATCCTTCACATGTCAGGAAGCAGGACGGAGATTTAGCCGAAGCATTTCAGAAGCACGAAGAGGGCATCGGTGAAGAAAAAGATGGCAAGAAATGTGAAGCTAAACGAGAAAGGGTAAAGCAGTGGAGAAAGGCTCTCACAGAAGCTGCAAATTTGTCTGGCCACCATCTTCAAATCACTGACAATGGGTAATCATTCACATTCCTTTCAAGATTTCAAACATTTTAGTGGACAATTGTTAGACGAGGGAGTATCACACACAGATGACAAAAAATATACGAATTTATAAAATCAAGAAATAAATCTGAAATTTAGACATCTTCGAGTTGTATTACTCTTATTAACTTGCTTAATTAATACACCTTAATCTCTCATATCAAACTAAAAAGACTGCTAGCTACCTTCTTTATTTGTCTTTTCTCACTTGCATTTCCCACTCATTTCATGCCATGTGGAATCAACTTACACTAATGTGTATTTAATGTGTATAGAATTTTATTCTTCTCTTCCCAATGCGCCCCTAATTAATGTTTCAGATTTTAACCCATCAATTATTACTTATATTTTTTTTATTAAAATTTATTTTTAAGCATTTCTTATTAGTTTTGACATTTTTTTTTCTTTTTGCTTTGCCATCTTCTGAGATTTTTTAAAAGAAAACTAATGAAAAGGGCTTGAAAACTTTGAGTTTTAATGATAAGGACAAAATAAAGGGTAAAATGAATAGTACCAGGTTTGACTTTTAGTGTAAAAATGTGGTTTTTCGTTAAAGTGAACAGTACCGTGGGCTTTTCGTTAAAACTCCCATTTTTTAATCTCCACAAAATCAATATAGGGGGTCACTGCCTACTATTTATAGATATTCCAGCATTATAATTTATATCCAACAGACAAAAAAAACATTATAACTTATAAACCTCCGGCTTTTATATGATACAAGAGAAAGATTCATTGAAATACCGATTTTGTGAAATTCATGTAAAAAAATTGTGGAAATTGTTATAAAAATAATGCAATTAAACAAAGTAAAAGAATTAAAAAAGAATCTTATATTAGCATTTTATTTTCCACTTTGAATTCCCATTTGTCATTTTCTTTTCTTGTACCAATTCTTGGTTAACTTTGTCCTCCTATATTGTTTTTAGTGGGAAGAAATTTCCAGGAACAGAATAATGCATTTGAAAAAAGAACGGCAAGGACAATTTAAAAGAAAATAAAATTGGAAGACAACTCCACCCAGAGCTTCAGAACATAATTTATTTAAACAAAAAAAAATCCATAACAAATTAGAAATGTTTAAAAAGCTATATTTTAATAAAAAAGAGAAGCAATAATTGTTTGGTTAAAATCTGGAACATTAAATTAGGGGCATATTAGGAAAGAAAAAAAATAAAATTCTCTACAGATTAAATACATAAATGTATGAGTAAGTTGATTCCATATTAAATACATAAAGAAAGAAAATTGTTTATGTACTGATGTATCCTACAAAGCCTTCATTGCGTCCACTAATGCTTACGAATTCAATTTTCAGGCGCGAAGCAGAGTTCATTAGAAAAATTGTTGATGAGAATATTTGTAAATGGCTCACCAGCACAAACGAATTACATGTGGCCAATCATCCAGTTGGAATCGATTCTCGCATTCAAGATATCATCACTTATCTTTCAAGTGGTGGATCAAATGATGTTCGCATGGTTGGAATTTGGGGGATGGGTGGAGTGGGTAAAACAACAATTGCCAAAGCCATTTATAACCAAATTCATCCTATGTTCCAATTCAAAAGTTTCCTTGCCGACGTTCGCGATGCTACAAGTAAACATGGTCTGGTTTATTTGCAAGAAAAACTTATTTCTGACATCTTGAAAAAGAAGCTTGAAATAAGCTCTGTTGATGAAGGTATCGGTATGATACAACAATTTCGACATAAAAGGGTACTTGTCATCTTGGACAACATAGACAAAGAAGAACAACTGGATGCAATAGCTGGAAATCATAATTGGTTTGGTCCAGGGAGTAGAATTATCCTAACAACAAGAGATGAACATTTACTAAAGCAAGGGAAAGTGCACAACATATATCCGGCTCAGAAATTCGAGAAAGGAGAAGCTCTGGAGCTCTTTAGTTGGCATGCCTTTGGAAATAGTTGTCCAAACAAAGGATATCTTGAACTCTCAAAAAAGGTTGTTTCTTATTGTGGAGGTTTGCCACTAGCCCTTAAAGTTTTAGGTTCATTTTTGTATGAAAGAACCATGGCAGAGTGGGAAAGTCAATTGGAGAAATTGGAAAGAACTCCAGATGGAAAAATAATAAAACCACTAAGAATAAGCTTTGATGGTCTAGATGATAGACAGAAGGCTATATTCCTTGACATATCTTGTTTCTTTATTCGAATGAACAAGGACTATGTCGCAAAAATATTAGATGGATGTGGATTTTTTGCGACAATAGAAATCAGTGTCCTCCGTGAACGATGCCTTGTAACGGTTGAAGACAATGTGTTGAATATGCATGATTTGCTTCGAGAAATGGCCAGGGTAATCATTTCTGAAAATCCCCTAATCACCTTGGAAAATGGAGTAGGTTGTGGAACTATCAAGAGGTCGTCGATGTCTTGGAAAATAAATCTGTAAGTACATTCCCAATAAAATTTTGCATTAATGCATTCTACTTGAAAACATATATATAACCCATGTATGTCTATTATACACTAAACAAGATTTATGTGTAAATATATTCACCGTAGGTGATTTAACATAATGAATAATAATATGCAAATAATCCGTTTCTTACACATGAATATAACCTTTTGTTAACAGGGAACCGAAGAAGTTGAAGGACTTTTTCTACAATCCCCTGATCATTTGTTGAGCTACATGCCTAGTTTCAGTACAGAAGCATTTGCCAATATGAAGAAACTGAAATTGCTTCACTTCAGCGACGCAGAGCTCAAAGGAGAATACAAACATTTTCCCAGAGAATTAATATGGTTGTGCTGGGGAGGGTGCCATTTAAAGTCCATACCAAATGACTTTTTCAATCAAGATAAACTAGTTATTTTAGACATGCAGGGGAGCGAACTGGTACAAGTTTGGGAGGGTTCCAAGGTACACTGAATTCCACCTGATGATGTTCTGTTTCTATTTGTTTTTTGGATTTCATCTCTTTTTTTATTTTATAACATCTTCATTTCGGATATTAATTTCAATTTTCTTTTGATTTTCTGCAACAGTCGCTACATAACTTGAAAACCCTTAATCTCAGCCATTCCTGGTCCTTACAGAAATCACCAGACTTTTCACAAGTCCCAAATCTTGAAGAGTTGATATTGCAAAGTTGTGAGAGGTTGTCCGAGATTCACCCCTCCGTTGGTCATCTTAAAAGACTTTCTTTGGTGAACCTTGAGAGGTGTCTCAATCTTATTTCTCTTCCAGGGGATTTCTACAAGTCGAAATCTGTTGAGACTCTTCTTCTTAGTGGATGTTCAAAATTCGTAGAACTGCATGAGGATATAGGGGAGATGATATCACTGAGAACACTTGTAGCGGATTTCACAGCCATTAGACGAGTACCACCTTCCATAGTAAGATTGAAGAATCTCACTCATTTATATCTCTCATCCTGCAGTTTAGATGATGATGGAATCCTTAAGGATCTTGGGAGTCTAATTTCTTTACAAGCTTTGCACCTTGGATCGAACTATTTTCGTATCCTACCCAGCCTCAGTGGTCTTTCAAAGCTTGAAGCTCTGGAGTTATATAATTGCAAGAAACTTCATACAATATCTGATTTACCAACAAGTTTGAAATTTCTGTATGCGAATGAGTGCCCTGCATTGAAAACAATGCCCAATTTTTCGGAAATGTCAAATATGAGAGAACTGAAAGTAAGGAATTCACACAAACTCACTGAAGTTCCAGGCTTGCACAAGTCATTAAACTCCATGACATGGATTAATATGCGAGGGTGCATCAATCTCACAACTGATTTTAGGAAGAACATCCTACAGGTATCTCTCTCTCTCTCTCTCTCTCTCTCTCTCTCTCTCTCTCTCTCTCTCTCTCTCTCTCTCTCTCTCTCTCTCTCTCTCTCTCTCTGTTCCTATCGTGTGCATGCACACACAAACGCACAGGTACATGTATATATATTTGACACTTGCATTGTATATATAGGGATGGACTTCTTGCGGATTTGGTGGCATTTTTCTGTACAGGAATTTTGTTCCTGATTGGTTTGAGTTTGTTAACGATGGTAATAGAGTCAGTTTTGATATTCCCCCGAACGATGGCCGTACTTTTGAAGGGTTGACTGTGTGCTGCTTTTGCAACTATGTAGTTGCACAAATTTTTAAATTTGGCATTACTGTTATAAATAATACCAAGCGTACTGAGTTGCACGTTTTCTTTGGCAACCAAATTTGGAATAAGTACTTACTTTGGCAAGGTCAATTATCGAACGATATGCTCGAATTGGAAAGTGGGGATAAAATTGAAGTTATAATATCTAATTATTATGGGCCACCGAAGAGAACAACTTACCATCCAGTGTCATTGAAGAGAACAATGGTTAATCTAGTGTGGAACAAACCTATGAAGGAAAATACGAATGATTTGGACAAAGTTGATTATGGTTTTTACCGACATCCAGCTCGGTTCTACGCGGAGTCATCTGCTGTTGTGTGGGCATCTGATGAAGATGAAGATGAAGAACCATGTACAGATGAAGATGAAGATGAAGAACCAAGTACAGATAAAGATGAAGACGAAGTTGAAGAACCATGCACATATGAAGATGAAGATGGAGATGAAGATGAAGATGAAGATGAAGATGGAGATGGAGATGAAGATGAAGATGGAGATGGAGATGAAGATGAAGATGAAGATGAAGATGAAGATGAAGTTAAAAAGTCAAGGAGTACATCAGGATTCGCATCAGGTGAAGTGATGGAAGAGAGCATAGCCGACTTAATGGGCGCATGTGACAGAAGAAAACTAGCAGTAGTAGTGCATGATCATGATCCCCTTGACCGTGCGCATTTATGCCCTTCCTTGTCTCTTGATACTCTTCCTGCAGGCCGTCATATTCAGTCTCGTTTGCGACAGCCTCGTTTGTGGCAGCCTCATGCTCAGCCTCAAACTCGTCTGGAGAATCTCCCAGTACTCTTCCAGCCACAGGGTCCTGCAGTCAGTAACAGAGATCACATATCCGACCCAATGGACAAAGATCCTCTTACACGCCTTTCTTTGTCTCTTGATCACTCATCTACTTGTTCAGGTAACATTCAGCAAAACTAAAGTGATGGATTTCTCAACAGAAAATCTCCGAATTTTTCTCCACTTTCAAACATTCTGCCATCATCTGCACTCCGACTCGTGTCTTGAAGCTCAATCTGCAAGGCAGGGATAAAGTTGAAGTTGATCTAATTTGGCTGGATCATACAATTATGTTTCATTAATTACAACATGGGTTAATCTAGTATGGGACATCCAGCTTGGTTCAATGGTGAGGCACAATCTAGGTGGTGATTCGTCATCATCACATATCAGAGTCACATCAGAGTCCGTTCGTCAAACGCCTCTTTTGTTTTTCGCTTTTCCAGTTCGATAATGAAGACCAGTCCATATTTCATACTTCTTTCAGATTCCTATGATTGTTTTCAATTAGTTGTTTTGAATTTTGAAGATATATTGTAAGTAAATTATGCAACGGAAAAACTTATTCACAATTATCAACTTAACCACTTACCTGTAGAAGACATCGTCTCAAAGAACTAGGATTAATAACTGAACTATGTGCTTTGACAGTTATGAATCCTAGCTCCATGCACCTTAATACAGTTGAACCACTCACTGGTGTCAACTATAAGAAATGGAAGCAAGATCTTGAGATCGTGCTAGGTGTCATGGATTGGGACTTAGCACTTAGAACTGAAGAGCCCCCTACACGAACAGATGGAAGCACCTCAAGTCAGAAGTCTAAATATGAAAAGTGGCACAAATCAAACAGAATTTCCTTATTGATTATCAAAAGAAGCATGATTGATGTGGTTCGAGGAGCCTTCACAGATGCTACCAATGCAAAGGATTTCTCAAGTCCATTGAGCAGAAGTACCAAGAGTCACCAAAAACTGAGACGGATGCTACCAATGCAAACAATTTCCTTAAGTCCATTGAAGAAAAGTACCAGGAGTCACCAAAAATTGAAACAGGTAATCTCATGAATTCACTGACAAACATGAGACATGATGGCATAGAGAGTGTGTGTGAGTACATTTTAAAAATGGTGGACATCGCTGGAAAACTCAAAGCTCTCGAGGTACTAATCCCTGAAACTTTCTTGGTACATGTGATATTGAGTTCCCTGCCTGATAGTTATACACATCTCAAATTGTCCTACAATGCATTGCGTGAAAAGTGGGATGTGAATGAGTTAATTTCAGTATGTGTGAGTGAGGAGGAAAGGATGAAAAAGTTTGAAAATGAGAAGATTAAGTCTTTGAACTATGTACGAAGTACCACCGAGGCACATACACCCTTAACCACCGATACTAGAAAGAATTCTACCAAAAGGGTTCCCTCTCCTAAAAGAAACACCAAACCTAACAAGCCATCGATTCTCAAACATTATTTTTGTATAAGGCTTGGCTTGCCATATGAAGAAAGGTAAAAACTTTTTTGCTTGTTTTGAGTCTAATTTAATTATTATACCTAGCACTAAATGGTGGCTTGACTCTAGCTTTTCTATTCATGTTACGAATTCATTGCAGAACTTCATAACAAGGAGAACATCAAATAAAACTCAACAAAGTCGAATTTATTTTAACATTCAAATGAACATACTAAGACTCGACAATCATCAAACTTATAGCAAAAGAGGCTAGGTCATATGTCAAAACAAAGGATGAGTTACTTGTCAATAATGATATTTTGCCTCCCGTAATTTTTAATGGTTTTGAGTTCTGTGTGGATTATGCTAAGGGAAAAATGACAAGTAGTAGAAAGAAAGGATCAACAAGAAGCAAAGAAACTTTAGAAATCATCCATACGGACGTTTGTGGTCTTTTTTCCCACACAAACTATAGAGGGACATAAATATTTCATAAACTACCTTTTCTTGATTTTGTTTCATCTATCTAATTCAAAATAATCAAATGCACTTGAAACTTTAAGATTTCAAAATTGACATCGAAAACCAATTGGAAGAAAAAAAAAAAAAAAAAAAAAAAAAAAAATTTAAGGAGGTTAGGTCTGATAGGAGAGGTGAATACAATGGTAGATACACTCAAACTGGCAGACATCTTAGTCCATTTGCCCTTTTTTTTTTTTCTACAAGAAAATGGAATTGTAGCTCAATACACCACACTAGAAATCTCGAGCAAAACGAAGTGGCTAAGAAAAGAAGGAGAACCCTAATGGACATAGTAAGGAGTACGATTTGTAAGACTAATCTACCAAGTTGTTTATGGAGTTAGAGATGGACAATGACAATCTTATATTTGAAGAAGATGATTAAATGGGGAATGATGCTGAACATTCACCGATTGCAGCAGCCTTGGTTGAAATTACAGATCAATTATAAGAAATTAAGTATGTGTAATGATGATGGTCTGTTACACCAAAGCACCGATAATGTGCTGTTGCTCAATGAGAAACATACTCATGATCATGCAAGCCATGATGAGTCAGTAACTGTGAGTGGCAGCTGCGATCACCGACAACCAGCAAACAAACGTGGCCAGCAGCAGTGAGCACCGACTACACCGATTGCAACAACATGCAAACACTCATGCGGGGTACGTGGAATTGACACCTGACAAACGTGGCAAGAAGATGGTCAAATGGAGATTAATACTGAAATGGCCAAATAGGGATTAATACTGAGCCAACACCGACTGTAGCAATAGTGGTTGAACTTCCAAGTCAAGTGGAAGAAGATGAGGGCTATGATGATTGCTATTTTCAGCATGGCAAAAATGATGTGTTGTTGCATGGTGAGCAGCAAATTCGTCATCATACAAGGCACGTGGAGGAAAGAGTTTCAAGTGGCAATGAACTGAAGCATGACACTGAAATTGAGGTGTTGTTAGACGGTGAACCGCATGCAGGAAATCAGCAAGGACACGTGGATGAAGATGAAGCAGCCGTGAATGGCAGTAACCACCGACTGGAGTCAACAGTTTTGGCAGTCGGTAATGTTCCACTGTTTTGAGGAAATCAGATAGGGTAAGAAAGTCAACATTCTCATCATATTTTGTGTATTTGGTAGAGACAGATTTTAATTTATCAGAGTTTTGTGATCCTGGGATTTTCAAACAAGTCATCTCGAGTCCAAAAATAGACAATTGGATTACAGCAGACATCAAGACAATGGTACCTAAAATTTCATCGAGTTGTAAAAGAAGGTTTCATAGAGAACCCATCAGATAAATTGTGTTTATTTGAGATTCTGTGGGAGCAATTTTATCATTCTAGTTCTTTATGTAGATGCTATATTGCTCACCACAAATAGTCATAGTTTGTTGGATGAAACTAAAGTTTTCTTGCAAAGACACTTCGAGATGAAAGACCTGAGAGATGACACTTATGTCCAAGGGATTCAGATCAAAAGTGAGAGAATAAGAGGGCTGTTGGGTTTTCCACAAAGAGCATACATAAAAAAGATTTAATATGTCTTCATGTGAGACTACAGAAATGCCCATATCAAAGGGTGATATATTGATCGAACTGTAGTGTCCCAAAACAGACTTGGAGAGGAAGATGATGGAAGATAAGCAATATGCATCCTGGGTTGGGAGTTTGATGTATGCACAAGTGTGCACAAGGCCTGATTTAGCCTTCACCATTTCGGTGCTTGGTAGGTTCCAATCCAGTGCTGGAGAGGCTTACTAGAATGCAGCAAAGAGTGTAGAGATATCTTTAGAGAACTAAAAGATCATACGTTAGTCTACAGAATGACATAGGACCAAAGATCATATGTTAGTCTACATAAGGACATAAAACATCGTTTTAGAAGGTTACAATGACTTAGATTTTGCGGGTTGTCCAGATGATATGAAATCAACATGGGGTTGTGTGATCTTAATGGCATGTGGAGCAGTATCTTGGAAGAGTGTAAAATAACAGACTGTGGTTGCTTCAAACTATGTTTGCAGAATACTTGTCCTATTGTGAAACTGTGAATCTAGCCATTTGGTTGAAGAATTTCATAACAGGACTACAAGAGGTAGACTCAATCTTGGAGACCTATACAGATTTATTTGACGACAGAGTAGCTATATTTTTCACTTAGAATAATAAAAGGTAAAATGCAACAAGGAACTTGGATATGAAGTATCTCATTTCTCGAGAAAAGGTGGTAGCTAGTTTGGTCAAGATTGAGTAATTGGAGACTAATTCAATGATTGTTCATCCATTGAATAAGGCTGTTATCATAGCGGTTTTCAAGAAGCATGTCAGCAAAGCATAGGGGTAATGGGTGATTTTGATGCAGCAAACTCATGCAGGAAACCAGTGGGAGCAAACTGATGCAGGAAATCAGTGGGAGCTGCATATCAGGTTCATTTTAAATGTTAGTTTTTCTTCAGTTGCAGTTCATGTTCTGGAAGTTGTATTCGAGTATTAATAATAAAGGCTTCTTAGCTAATAAAGAAAAATGTTGTAAGGTTGTTAAAGTTCCCAAAAAGTATACAGCATATAGTTATGATAATGCATGAATGTTTTTATGCATGATGATTAATGATCTTGAATTATCATGAAGGAAAAAACAACCTAAGGGCTTCGTTCAGAAGCATTGGGATTGCTTTCAATCCTGAAGGGGACCAAATGTTTGACATATTACAAATACATATCCAGTCATGTCTTACATTGTTTTTATATCTTGTTGGAGTCTCATGTGTTGGTTAGTTTCATTGTAAGTAATTATGGGGACGGTACTCTTTGAAAGTTGAGTGTGTTGCCCTATAGTTCTCATGAATACTTGTTAATGACAGAGACTGGTAAATCGAGAAAATGTCAAAGACTAATCTCATGGCCAATTCAGATTCATTCCATATTAAGTATAAACTATACAAGTTGACAAAGTATTTGCTCTAGTGGGAGAATGTAAGTTCTATATGAGAGCAAACACTTTGTGATTTGATTAAAGACATTTGGAATGATAAGGAGATTAGGATTGACACTTGTGGTAGACTTATCAGGAATTGTATTTCTTTGGAGATTCAAGTCAGATACATTCTCGGTAAGACTAGAACTCTTCTAGCTGATATAATGCATAAGTGTTTCACGGTGATAAGGCTACTCTTTGATAAGGATCACTTAATGGGAGGGATCCTGATTGAATTCCATCGTATGAAGTATAAAACTGAGGTCCCTGCTCTCTCACAGAACACGCAAGTTTACAGAAAACTCAAGCCCCATTGAGCGAGCCTTGCTTTCGGTTGTGTAGAGTTGCAGAAGAACTTCAGTTATTAATCCTAGTTCTCTGAGACGATGTCTTCTACAGGTAAGTGGTTAAGTTGATAATTGTGAATAAGTTTTTCCGTTGCATAATTTACTTACATATATTGCATCTAGAAACATTTCAACATTACAACAATCAATATAAGACATTCATCAAAAGGTTTGACAAATACTACTCGAATTCGCACAAATACTTACCCTGCTTCCACCACATATTTCAGGAATTTACTTTTAAGGTTAGAAAATCAATGAAAGCTTCAAGACGTCAGTCAACAGTTCTAGTACCTTTTCATTAATCTTGACTCCTGACATGCTAGCATAAGGTTTGGATTTTTGAATACGTTCAGTTTGGTATTCAAACTAGCATGAAATTGAGCTAGATTATGAAATGCTAAGTTTGAATACTAAACTGAACATATTCAAAATCAAAAAAGCATCAAGTATCAGAAAGTAACTTGGAACAAGATTTTACCAACGTCTCTTACCCAAGCATTCTGATAAATAAATAATAAACCCCAAACGAAAGACCACATTTTTCTTTCTCTTAATCTTTTTTCTCGGCAACCAAACAGAAAACAAGAAAAATTAACGAGAACTATAGAGAGGTGTGATTAACCTGGAGGACTTTGGGGCCGAGGATGTGAGAGGACTTTGAGATCGCATGCGGGTCGGGCAAGGACCTGGCGGAGATGGATTTGAGGTCCATGTTAGTGAGCTCGGCTTGCACTGTATTCACCACCGTACGCGTGTCGTCGGGCAAGGCGGAGTGGGTCAGGATCATCGCCTTCACTTGTTCAAGGTCCCCGAAGCACCACCATTTGCTTCTTAGGGTTCGATTGCGGCGTCGGAACTCCCCTCTATATTTTTGGCGCCTGTTCGCCGGGTTTTTCTGAATTTTGCAACAAAAAAGGCAAATGTACGGTACGGTCCCAAGTATGTCAACAAACGGCATCGTAGGGGGATTGGTTCCCCTTTTGTGAGAATGAGGGCAAATGGCCAAAATCAACACCAACATTGTAACGGACAACCGACAAGGGCAGGCCCATGTGTAGCCTTAAAGGTCGATATGTTAGGTGGGCCGAAGGCATGAATTGGCCCATTATGGCCCAATGGCTATAGGATGATCCAGTCCGACATGGCACATCACTTTTGCGGCGAGTACGCAGGTGTGGGGAAAAATCGTCCGAACTGTTCAAACTAAACCATTTCAAGTGGCTGACACTTAATATTATGATATAGTAATATTTCTTTTCACTTATAGATAAGAGATTTTAAATTTGAATTTTATGAATAACGAGTTTCATATAAATTTATGCCTCTGCTTCTAATGGAAATAAAACATTGCATTGCCCCAAAAAATGATATCATTGTATGGAAACCAATCCAAGCAGTTTAACGTATTTTATAATGAAAGGGAGCAATTTCAGATTGAACTAAATCCATAGCTTGGCTTGGTTTGGCTCGGTTTGATGTATTTGGAAACTGCTAAAATCAAAATCAATTTGAACGATGTTGCTACGTTGATTGGTGTATTGTTTAAGAATGGAACCGAATCAAACTGATAACTCTCCAAAGTGACGACCACTTGTAACATTAATTATTATTGATAATTGGCATATTAATTCAAACAGTCTAAAAATGTGATCTGCTTGAACCACCATAGGATGGCCCAGTGGTCGGGGATGAATTTCAGGCTTGTATTTCAAGTGGCATATCTTATGTTCAATTCAATTCCTAGCATTGGCGAATTACACGATGATGGCCATGAGATGGCTAAAATGCCTATGTAAGTCTTCCTGACTCCCAGGTAGACTGTCGTGGCGAAGTCACCAGCTGGTCCCTTTCTTTAAAAAAAAAAGATAAAAGGGATTTGTTTAGAGTAATGATCTTCACACCTCATTATTTATGCCCACTAGTTCTCTTTTATTTTGTTCAATATAAAAGAATATAACAAACTTAAGGAGTGCAGGTGGACAACAAGAGACTACGGAAATCACTCCTCATCCTCGTTCTTTTGTCATTTATAACCGATGCATTACTCCATATATGTGTACAACTGCGTCATAAAATTTTGGTTGAACCTATAAATGGTGTATAAGTTGGTATTTGTTGGCCATAGCTGAATTACTGATAACCCACATTTTAACCATATCAAAAGGTACCATTCACACACACACACACACACAGCGAGAGAAGCAAGTCCTTGATGCAATATCGTCCGTTAAGATTCAAGAGAGATGAGGAAGTTAGGCTTTCTTGAAGGAATAATTAAACAACTCACGAGTCTATGTCTCAACCATGCATTGCTATGTTGTGCTTCTTTTTTTTGTTTAACAAATGATATATCTACACTAAGAGATATGAGGTTAGCTTAGCCTCATAATGGACTAGTAATAATATAGTTCAAATTCACTTTTGGCAAGAATTGAACTTAAAACCTCTCACTTACAAGTTGAGAGTAATACCACTAGACTGTAGTACTAAGTGACATTTTTTAACTTATTTTGTAATACAAAATGATATTCGTCGCGTCCAATAGTCATATATATTTTGAGAGTTGTTATTTTCATCCTAATGTCTTATCTTCCCACTCACTTTTTAATGAATTTTTTAATTACAAATTTATCCATTTGTAAAATGACTAATAAGGACCTTAGTTATGGAGGAGTATTCTTTACCCTCCTAATCTCTCCACCCTTCCATCCTCTCCTATTTGAACGGTCACGGTTAAGCCACGTCAACATCTTATATTGATTTTTTTATAGAGATAATAAGACAAAAAACAATGTGTAAGAGGAGGGGATGAGAATAGGAGGGTAGATAATCATCCTCCTTTAGTTATCCTGTTGTGTGTGTGTGTGTGTGTTTTTTTTTTTTTCTTTTGGTAAAAAAAGTAGAGGATTATGTTCCCATCAAAGATGTAGAAGAATAATTTTTTGTGTGAGCAATTTTAATTTGTTGCCATCGCAAAATTGAATCTGCATACCTCTGTTGCTATGATTCTATATTTAACTTTTGTACATTATTATGATTAGTATTAGGTTAGCGTGCAATTTGTTTCACGTTTTCATATGCGTATTCTTGGAGATGGTTTACTTGAGTAAACTCCATTTTCAATCATGACCAAACCTGTTTTTATTGGATTGCTTACAACTTACAAGGGGTCTATGAAATTAAAAGATAATAGGTAAACCATCTTATAAACAGCTCAATCTAAATCTAGCATTTTCCAAGTGGTTGGCAGCTCACGGTTGATCAAATTATACACCACAAAAACATGGGTGAGCCGCATTTGTGGAGGCCAGGGGTTCGGGTCCAAGAGAGAGCTCCAGAGTTCTGGAAGCAAATGGAAGACTCCGATTTTTCCCTTCCCATGGTGAACAACATGTGTACATCATGCCGACGATTGAAGGATCTCGATTTTTTTTTTTTCTGCTGGCTTTTAGAAGAGAGTAATATTATTTGTTTATATTCTTTTTTTAATAAAAATTAACGAGAACACAAAGGATGGTGAGAGGACTTTCGGAGCGAATGCGGATCCGGCAAGGACCTGGCGGTAAAAAGGACAAATGTACGGTACAGACTGTACAGTCCCAAATAAGTCATGAAACGGCATCGTAGGGAGTATTGGTTCCTGTTTTATGATAATGAGGGCCAATAGCCCAAAATTAAGGCCCACAAGGGCAGGCCCATTTGTAGCCTTAAAGGTCGATATACTGGTCTTGTTGGGTGGGCCGAAATCATGAAGATGTTTCGCGTTTGGATGTCGTTGCCGCGAAACAAGTAAGAAATAGAGTGGAGGATTACTTTTGCTCTTGTTCATTGAAGGAGCTTAACTTGCTTTTCCACCGACCTGTGACTATTACACGGAGGAGACTTAAAAAGTCCTTCACTTGGAGAAGATGATTACATTTTAAACATTGAATTCAATAAATCAAACAAAACACAACTACTGCCATTTTTTCAGTAGTGATCTGAATCATTGCAGCACCATATCGGTGAATACCGCCATGACAGTCCATGGAGCCTTCTCTTCATCCTCCTTCATGTCAAAACTTGAGTTAAATAACATGATTTGTTTAATTATTATTATGTTTTGTTGAACTTTAGTATAATTAATTTTTAAAGAGTGACCTCAAAAGATGCTTTGCTTTCAGAGGAGACTTAAAATAGTTATCACTAATTAAAACAAGAAAAAAGTTAAAGGAAACTTTAACAAAAATAAAAATCTGTATGAATTTCTCGTCATTTTATATTTTTTAACATAATTTTATGCTAGTATTATAAAATTTTGTCCTAAAATAAGTTGATGATCTTTGTTTGTTTTACAGTAATATTAGTTTATTTTCTCTCGCTAAAATAATGGGTGTTTGCGTTTGTTTTTTTCAGTTTGACAAGATGTATGAGAGTGGGTGGCGATGTGCGGTGGGCTCTAACTTCGGTTGTTTCTTCACTCATTCACTCAGGACTTTCATATATTTTGCTTTGGAGACGCTCAATTTCCTTATCTTCAACGATGCTTCTTGACATCAGTTGTTTACAAAAGCATTTCTTTTTAGCAAACAAATTTAATGTCTCAAATTTTTTAATAAATTTTTTCTTTTTAAAGCAAGAAAACTAACGAAAAGTTCAAATTTTTTTTTAGTTTTAATAAAAAATGATAAATAAAGATGTACTGAATAGTATCAAGGAAATGTAAAAATATGATTTTTATTTAAAAATAAACAATACCAGAAGTATTTCGTTCAAACTCTTTTAAAGCACCATAACTCCAAAACAGAAACTAATTTTATTTATATAATATAGCACGTAGACTTTTGTGGCTTGTTGGTATAGTGATTTTTACTAGGAAATTATGACTAATATAAATTAAAGCCTCATCTTATAATATAGCACGTAGACTTTTGGCATTGCTCCATCCACATTTTCCTTGCCCTGCCTGTCACTTGCCAAAACTATATCACTCTAACCCAACTTGCTCTACCCCCAATATTTCTATACATGAAGATCTATCTGGTCCGTTCTACAGTTTTACTTTCACTGTAACCCAACTTTCTCTCAAACTCTTCTCCAAAGCGTACTCCTTTTCGGCTCTCTGATTAATCATTTTTATTGAAACTTTAATTCAACTGGAGGATGTTTATCTCTCTGTTCTGGGTGCTAAGGTTCATTCTCTCTCTCCCCCTATCTATATATCTATCTATCTCTTTCCTTTCTGCCAATTTCTCGCAGAATTTAATCCTGAAATTACGATCTGAAATTATAAGGAATGGGTTTTTTTTTAATTTTCTGTCAGTTAAATTGAATTTACTTAATTGTTTGGGACTAATCCTTTTTCTTTTGGGGTTATTTTCTTCTGGTTGTAGTTGTTTCTGAAGAGAGGAGGAGAAAGCTGCTGTTTTCAGTAAAACGGTACTGACTTTCTTACTTTTTAATAATTTTTATCTTCTGGGATCTGATCTTAAGATCTTTCTTATGCCCCCAACTTTTGTTTTTGTTTTGGGGGGGGGGGGAGGGGTTTTACATATTGGCCATCTGGGGTATTCTGTACATTTCAAAATCTGTGGGGATTTTCCCTTTTTTCTTTTATTTATTTTCCTTGATTCCAACCCGTTAGATCTGAATCTAATCAGTGTGTTGCCTGACAAATTGGTGGTTGAGAATTGGGAATCTTTAAAGAAAATGCCTCATGAGAGTTTTGATTTTAATATCCATTATTTAGCTGTTGAAAGTTTGCAAATTTTTGTTGGGGTCTCAGGACTGTTTCTCTTTTTGTACTGTGACCTTTAGTTATTTTATAAATACAGTAACAAAACAGGTTTAGTGTGTGATAGTTGGGACGAAAAGAATTTTGCTTTGTTAAAAGTTTTTCATATTATAAATCTGGCATGTTTAATTTATGACCTATATATAATTATATATATCATCTATTCCTTTGTTGATAAGATTTGTACAAGTGTCTCAACCCCCATAAGTCCTACTTTTGTTAACCAGAAAAGCAGTGCTACTAATACCACTCACCAAAGTGCAAAATCATCAGCGTACATTTTTGTGCTTCTTTTAATGCCCCTCCTTAAGATTTCAAACTTCACTTCCAATTGTTTCTTCTCTCTGTTTCTATGCTTTAAAAAAGTCTCAGTTTTTTGTATTCCTCCAGCACACCAAACACAGTACTAATATATACATATATATGCAGTTATATATTTGTATATGCACCTTCTTTAGTTTCTTTGTCAATTATATAATCTCTCTGTTAATATTAAAAAACATTTTTTAGTAACTTAATCTCAACTATTGTAATGCAGTTCAAGATTTCAATGTTAATTTAGTTTAATATTAAATAAATGGTTTGCACAGCTAATTGCATGTAGTTCTCTTTATCTCTATTCTCCTCATCGATGCAAATGAAAGTAAAGAATTTTTTTTTTCTCATTTTCCTTATGCCCAATTTCAAATTGAAATATATTTATTATCTTTCTTTTGAATAGGACTTCGACCTACTAATTTTTTCCTGAAATTATAGCCTCTTAATCGATAGAAAAAATAAATGGTGAATATAAGAACAAACTCATTTGTGCTTAAAGCTTAATAAGATTTACAAAACCCCGTATTTTAAAAAATAGTTATTTTTGAGTTTTGTGGGCTTTCATCTGTTACCGATTGTCAACAACCTTCCATCCCATGGGACCTTCGCTTCCCAATTATCTCTCTTGGAGTTCAATAAATTATAGACAACAATGCAAGTAAAAAACTAATCCAAAAGCTTTAAAAAATTTGAACGTTTGATAATTTGCTTTCTAAAATTCTGATTATGTCTGTACTTTTGTCAATCCTTACATTCTTTATTACGTTCAATTTTTTTTAGTACAATGTGTTAAATATTTATGATTACTAAATCAAATCATCACCATTCAATTTGACAGGAAAAAGAATTCTAACATTATTCTTATGATTCACAGATGTGTGATTCTCAGTGCACTTGACAGGAAAAAGAGTTCTATACAAATTTCAATGCACTTGACACTCACTTCAGGATCATTGGCATTGATTGGATAAGGTGAGCAAATTCTTATCAATACCTTCTCTCATTGTTTAGTTTTTTTATAAAACATCATAACTCCAAACGAAGCCATAAAGCATCATAATTCCAAACCAAAAACTAGTTTTATTTATAATATAACACTTAAGACTTTGGTGGCTTGTTGGTATGGTGTTTCTTACAGTAATTAGGACTAATATAAATTAAAAGCTCATCTGGTAACGTTTTACTACCAGTTTAAAAATCAAAACAACAAAAATAGAACTTTATATGTTTAATTAAAATCTCAAAACGACAAAGTTGCATGACTTTGACTCTGCGCTAGTTTATATGTACGTGAATATTTTTATACTAAAATGGATTGTCTCTGCAACTTCAATTTTGTGCAACTCTCCGTTCCTTGAACTCGGTCATTTCTCAAGTTTTTAACGTGAAAGCTATATTATTAAGATTTAGACTTGGGTATTTATTTCGGTATTATCCTTGGTAGCTTACCACACACACATAACAAATGCAAATATTGTAAAGATTTATAGATTGATCAACGACCCATCATTAATCACACCAATACTTTCTCTCAACTTGAATCTTACCCCATGCACAACATAGCATATATGAAAGTTTAATCATAAAATACTTTGGTATAATTAGAAGTGGAAACCACAATATAAGTTATCTTTAATTTTGTCAAATATAAGTTATCTTTAATTTTGTCAAATATAAGTTACCTTTAATTTTGTCAAATTTTATGTGAGATTCTTGTACACTTAAACATGTATAGGAATGGACTTCTTGTCGATGTGGTGGCATTTGTCTCATTGTATTTATGATATTCCCAAGTGGTTTGAGTTTGCTTATGAGGAAAATATTGCTGATTTTGTTATGCCTGAAAGTGATATTTAAAGTGTTGATATAAATTCTACCAAGCATGCTGCTTTGCACGCCTTAATAACATTTACCTCAGTACTACCAAAATCTCATGAACTCGAAAGCGATTATCTTTGGCAAGGAGAGATATAGCAGAATAAAAACATAGTGCGAAAAAAATTAATGTATATGTTCTTGGAGAAAATTAATGTATAAAGGCAAAACTAAAACAGAATGTTACTAACATTGGTTGGGAATAAATGTAATGTGAGGTAGATCTTAATTAAACAGGAGCCTTTTTCCTTCACGTGAGCCTTTTCCTTGTGTTCAGATATTCTTGAAGAAAAGCAAACATGAGCCTTTTCCTTCACGTGGATAAAGCATATTTCAGAGTTCCTTTCTTTCCTGCCGGAATTGGATCCTCGCCGGATCTAATTGCTGGGGATCCTAGGGATCAACACACGTTTTCCTGCCTTCCATCGTCCTATTACGTGTCGGTAGTCTGTCCTTTTGTGTTCCTTTCTTTCCTCTTTTCCACTCTCTTTCCTTGTCCCTTCCCGCCCGGTAGCGTGTCGTTTCTCCAGTCCATACGCCAACATTATTATATTATAAACCTTTTGCTTTTGTTTATTGAAGGATCTTGACTTGTGTTTAGGTATCATCCTTCGGCAACACATCCACAACCATTGCCATTTTTCAGTCTCTGATCTGAACCACTGCAGTGCCATAACGGTGGCTACCACCATGACAGCCCACGAAGCCTCCTCTTCGTCCTCCTCCAAGTCAAAACTTTGGAGTTACGACGTGTTCTTGAGCTTCAGCGGCAAAGACACGCGATATGGCTTCACCGGCTACCTCCACCAGGCACTAAAAGACAAAGGATACCGTGTCTTTATTGACGAGGACGGTCTAAAAAGAGGGGAAGAAATAAGAGGGGAACTGTTAGGGGCAATCGAAGAGTCGAAGATCTCTATCATTGTCTTCTCAAAGATGTATGCGGATTCGAGTTGGTGTCTTGACGAGCTGGTGAAGATCATGGAGTGCAGAGACAAATTGGGGCGACATGTTTTGCCAATATTCTATCACGTTGATCCTTCGCATGTCAGGAATCAGAACGGAGATTTAGCTGAAGCATTTCGGGAACACGAAAAGGACATCCATGAAGAAACAGATGACAAGAAACGTGAAGCTAAACAAAAAAGGGTAAAGCAATGGAGAGAGGCTCTCACAGAAGCTGGAAAATTGTCTGGCCACCATCTTAAAATCGCTAATGATGGGTAATTATTCACCTGCTTTTCAAGATTTAAGTTGTAATACTCTGATTAACATACTTAATTAATACACCTTAATCTCTCACGCTGATCCTTCACATGTCAGCAAGAGGCGAAGAGAGGCTCATACAGAAGCTACAAATTTGTCTGACCACCAAACAACTGGCAACGGGTAATCATTTACCTGCTTATTTCAAGATTTGAAACATTTTAGTGAATGACTTGATCTCTCAATTAATTAACATGCTTAATTAACATTTTATATAATCCTCTTTTTTTTTTTTTTTTTTTTTTTTTTTTTTAAGAAAAGCTCGACGGATCTAAACTTTAGTTCACATGCTTAATGAATACACCTTAATCTCTCATATAAAACCTAACCCGTAATTGTAGTTTAATTCATACACCTAACTACTTTCTTTCTTTTATTCAAGTTATCGGCACAAAATCACATGCTAGCTGCTAGTTAGTGTATTATATATATATGAAGAAAAGAAAGAAAATTGTTTATGTACTGATATCTCCTACAGGGCCTCAGAGTCCCATTAACGCTTACGAATTCAATTTTCAGGTACGAAGCAGAGTTCATTAAAAAAATTGTTGACCAGAATATTTGGGAATGGCTCCACAGAACAAACAAATTACATGTGGCCAAGCACCCAATTGGAATCAAATCTCGCATTCAAGATATTATCAATGATCTTTCAAGTGGTGGATCAAATGATGTTCTCATGGTTGGAATTTGGGGGATGGGTGGCTTGGGTAAAACAACAACTGCCAAAGCCATTTATAACCAAATTCATCATATGTTTGAATTCAAAAGTTTCCTTGCCGACGTTCGCGACACTTCAAGTAAACATGGTCTGGTTTATTTGCAAGAAACACTTATTTCTGACATCTTGAAACAGAAGTCTCAAATAAAAAGTGTTGACTTAGGTATCAGTATGATACAACAAGTAGTTCAACATAGAAGGGTACTTATCATCATTGACGATATCGATGACCGGAAACAATTGGATGCAATAGCCCGAAGTCACGATTGGTTTGGTCCAGGAAGTAGAATTATCATGACGACACGAAATAAACATTTACTAAAGCAAGTGGAAGTGGACAAGACATATCCGCTTCGGGAAATGAATAAGGAAGAAGCTCTGGAGCTCTTTAGTTGGCATGCCTTTAAAAAAAGTTGCCCTGATGAAGAATATCTTGAAGTCTCAAAAAATGTTGTTTCTTATTGTGGAGGTTTGCCACTAGCCCTTGAAGTTTTAGGTTCTCTTTTGTTTAAAAGACCCATTAAAGAGTGGAAAAGTCAATTGGAGAAATTGGAAAGAATTCCTGAAGGAGAAATAATAAAACCACTAAGAATAAGCTTTGAAGGGCTAAATGATACAGAGAAGGCTACATTCCTTGACATATCTTGTTTCTTTATTGGAAAGGACAAGGACTATGTTGCCAAAATATTAGATGGATGTGGATTTTATGCAATAGTAGGAATCAGTGTCCTTTGCGAACGATGTCTTGTAACTGTTGAAGGCAACAATTTGAATATGCATGATTTGCTTCGAGAAATGGCCAGAGTAATCATTTCTGAAAAATCTCCTAATCACCCTGGAAATTGGAGTAGGTTGTGGAACCGTCAAGAGGTCACCGATGTATTGACAAATAAATCTGTAAGTTCATTCCCAATAAATTTTGGATTTATGCATCATACAAGAAAACCATATATGTAACCCGCGCAAGTCAATTATACATTAAACAACATTCATGTGTAAATATATTCACCGTACGTGATTTTGCGTAATGAATAATAATAATACATGTAAACATATGCAGATATACCGTTTCTTACCACTATAACTTTTTTTTTTTTTGTTAACAGGGAACTGGAAAAATTGAAGGACTTGCTCTATATTCCACTAAAGGAACTAGTTTCAGTACAAAAGCATTTGCCAAAATGAAGAAACTGAGATTGCTTCTGCTCAGCAACGTAGAGCTCAATGGAGAATACAAACATCTTCCCAAAGAGTTAATATGGTTGCGTTGGAATTACTGCCCTTTAAAGTCCATACCAGATGACTTTTTTAATCAACCAAGACTAGTTGTTTTACACATGCCGTTTAGCAAACTGGTACAAGTTTGGAAGGGTTCCAAGGTATAATGAATTACACCTGATGATGTTCTGTTTCTATTTGTTTTTTGGATTTCTTCTCTTTTTTTTGTAACATCTTCATTTCAGATATTAATTTCAATTTTCTTTTGCTTTTCTGCAACAGTCGCTACATAACTTGAAAAACCTTGATCTCAGCTATTCCCATTCCTTACAGAAATCACCGGACTTTTCACAAGTCCCAAATCTTGAAGAGTTGATATTGGTATCGTGTAAGAGTTTGTCCGAGATTCACCCCTCCATTGGTCATCTTAAAAGACTTTCTTTGGTGAACCTTAGCGGATGTCACGAGCTTATTTCTCTTCCAGGGGATTTCTATAAGTCAAAATCTATTGAGACTCTTCTTCTTAATAGCTGTTACCAATTCAGAGAACTGCATGAGGATATAGGGGAGATGATATCATTGAGAACACTTGAAGCAGAGCAACCAGCCATAAGAGAAGTACCACCTTCCATATTAGGATTGAAGAATCTCACTCGTTTATCCCTTTACAGCATCAGCATAAAACTCAAAGGAAAATACAAATATCTGAGTTGGGAAGGATGCCCTTTAAAGTCCATACCAGATGACATTTTCAATCAAGATAAACTAGTTGGTTTAGAGATGCAGTGGAGCTATCTGGTACAAGTTTGGGAGGGTTCCAAGGTACAATGAATTACACCTGATGATGTTCTGTTTCTATTTGTTTTTTGGTTTTCTTCTCTTTTTTTTATAACATCTTCATTTCGGATATTAATTTCAATTTTCTTTTGATTTTCTGCAACAGTCGCTACATAACTTGAAAACCCTTGATCTCAGCTATTCCTGGTGCTTACAGAAATCACTGGACTTTTCACAAGTCCCAAATCTTGAAGAGTTGATAATGGAAGGGTGTTTCCTTTTGTCCGAGATTCACCCCTCCATTGGTCATCTTAAAAGACTTTCTTTGGTGAACCTTAAGTGGTGTGATAAGCTTATTTCTCTTCCAGGGGATTTCTATAAGTCCAAATCTGTTGAGACTCTTCTTCTTAATGGATGTAGAGATTTCAGAGAAGTGCATGAGGATTTAGGGGAGATGATATCATTGAGAATACTTGAAGCAGAGGAAACAGCCTTAAGAGAAGTACCACCTTCCATAGTAGGATTGAAGAATCTCACTCGTTTATCTTTGAATGGTAATAAGTTTCGTAGCTTACCAAAACTCAGTGGTCTTTCAAAGCTCGAAACATTGTGGTTAAATGGAAGCAAATGTCTTTGTACAATCCTTGATTTGCCAACAAATCTGAAAGTTCTGCTTGCCGATGATTGCCCTGGATTGGAAACAATGCCGGACTTTTCGGAAATGTCAAATATGAGAGAACTGGATGTAAGTGATTCAGCCAAACTCACTGAGGTTCCAGGCTTGGATAAGTCATTAAACTCCATGGTGTGGATTGATATGAAAAGGTGCACCAATCTCACAGCTGATTTTAGGAAGAACATCCTACAGGTATCTCGCTCTCTCCCTCTCATTGCCTTCCTATCGTGCGCATACATGTATATATATATATGACACTTGTATTGTATATATAGGGATGGACTTCTTGCGGATTAGGTGGCATTGCTCTCCATGGGAATTATGTTCCTGATTGGTTTGCTTTTGTCAACGAGGGCACTCAAGTCAGTTTTGATATTCTCCCGACCGATGATCATAATTTTAAAGGGCTAACTCTGTTCTGCTTGTTCCGCAAATGCGGAAGAAAAGAATTACCTGATCTTAAGATTACTATTATAAGTAATACCAAGCGTACGAAGTTGCTGGCCTACAAAACCAGAGTACCTGTGGAGTATGAGAATTATGAAGATGATTATCTTTGGCAGGGACAACTGTCGAACAATGAGCTCAATTTGCAAGGCGGGGATAAAGTTGATATAGTTTTTGAAATTCGATTGGCGAAGTGGGATAATTCTGTAAAATAATGAGAACAGGGGTTAATCTAGTATGGGACAAACTTATGAAGGAAAATATGCACGACACTAGAAGCGATTTTGACTGGGATTGGGATGAGGAAGGAGCAAGCCATGATGATGAGGGAGGACCAAGCCATGATGATGAGGGAGGACCAAGCCATGACGCATCTGATAAACTCATTTGTGCAGAATGAGGCGAGTCCAGATTTCATGCTTTTTTTTCTTCGGATTCCTATGATTTATTTCAATTAGTTGTTTTGAATTTTGAATTTATTACATCAAGTAACATTACAACAATCAATATAAGACATTCACCCAAATATTTGACAAATACTACTCGAATTTACTTTTAAGGTTAGAAAGAAAATCAATGATAGCCTCAAGATGCCAATCAATGGTTTCTACTACCTTTTGACTCTACATTTACTAAAAGATTTATTACCTTTTCTAATACCTTTGCAGTCGATGAACTCGTTTGCGCAATCAAAAGAGTCTTCTGTTGGATTCTCCAAAACTTTATAAGGAAGTTGTCTGTAAGATTGTAGGGTTGTTCCTGTTCATTTTCATAAGGATTCGACGTGATCATGGAGTGCCGGCTGTCGACTACCTGACGCCCTCCCCCTCCTCCTTTATCCGGGCTTGGGACCGGCCATGTAAGACATAGGCGGAGTTGGGTTGTTCCTGTTAAGATAAAAAAAATCTCATTTGCAAGACTCAGAAATGATGGATTGCTCAATAGAATATCTCGGAAATTTTCTCCACTTCCCTTCCACTCTGATGAGTTCAAAAGCTTCCTTCACCGATTTTAGTTTCTACTAGTGATGCTACAGGTTTTAAAACCATATAAAACATGTCAAAAGTTCTAGGTATATATACGATATGCAATATTTACATACATATGATTCATGTCTTCTTAACCATTAACAGAACAAACAGAAAAAAATGAAAAGCAAAAATATGAATTGTGCATGAAATTGTGTTCCCAAAAACTACACTTTCGAAGGATAAATATACATGCGCTCTACAATTTCATTTCTCAGTTCCGCTATTGCCACTTATTCTAAAAATGGTGAACTTTGACTGTTCCCCACTTTATGAGTGCTAATTACATCCCTTACCTGAAAACCAATTGCAAACACCTGCCCATGATCAGTTTCTTCGGCCCTTACAAAACACATTTGCTACATCTACATGTTGTGTCCTTCTGTAAACACCATCAGGTTAAGATGTCACACAGACACAGTAAAACAAAATGAACACAACAAATATAGCTTACACGTGTTTATGGACTTCAATTAAAAAAATAAAAATAAAAGGAGACAGCTTTTTGGTAGCTGAACATGCTCATTTTAATATTCTCTGCATCCACATCATGAGGACACTTTTGTACCTTCAGTTGCAGCACAATAACATCAGAAATCTTGCAATACAACACCAATACCAATTTTAATGATCAGAATATGCTGACACACTGACATGATAATCATCCAAATCAAATTGATTTTGGAGCTGCCGTGCAAGTTCCTCATCACGACTACTACCTGTACAGGCACCTCCAATTGAAGGCTTTGCCCCGGCTTTTCTCTTTTCCCATCGGGCTCTTCCTCTTGCCTCCCCTTTTCCCCCAAACTGTCTGCCTCTTGAATGCTTGTCATCACGGTTTCGATGACTCATTTTTTGAGGAAGATTTTGTGCAGCTGGTTGGTTTCGTTGCTGAGCTACTCGGTTTGTCTTGAGTTCTTTCATCAAGGGAATCTGCCTTCTGTCTGTTATCTGTCTCAATTTTTTTATAATTTTTATCCTCTTGCTTTCAATTGAAGGTTCTGCTGCCTTCCAACTGATCTAACCTCAGTATTTCTGGCGATAGTCCACTACTCCTGGAGCTAACATCAGACTAGAGTAATCTGCCCATGATTGTATCATCCCCATGAGTTATGCCTGCAATAACAACGTTGAGTGGTTGAAAATTATGGTAACAGCAATTTGTCCTGTTGAGGAAACCGACTTTTAGCTGCCCCAACTTGCAACTTCTCAAATGAATACTTTTTATTCATCTGCGATTGATTGAAGTTCATATTGAGTTTAGAGAGACACCTAAAACTTCTTATGAAATTCATACTGAGTTTCATGAAAATACACTTACATCAATTAAAAATTGGATGTGGATTCGCTTCAAGATTGCATACACAAATACGAAGCACAGTGTTCATTACTATGTTCTAAGAAAGTGTTAGTTTCTAAATATGTTATTATCCCATTTGCCGTTGTTTTCCATAATCTATCTCAATTTCATACTAAACTGAACATATTCAAATTCCAAAAAGTGATCAATCAAAGAAATCTTTAACTTATTTACATGTATAACACAAGCTGAGCATTGAGCAAGCAATCATCAAGTAGCAGTAAGTACCTTAGTTCCAGGAACGACGCTTCTGTGAGCCCACATTGCTTTCTCTTCATCTATTTTCTCAGCAACCAAACAGAAAACGAGATAAATTAACGAGAAATACAGAGAGGTGTGATTTACCTGGAGGACCTTGGAGCCGAGGAGGTGAGAGGACATTTGGAGCGTATGCGGGTCGGGCAAGGACCTAGCGGAGATAGATTTGAGGACCATGTTGGTGAGCTCGGCTTCCACTGAATTCACCACCGTACGCTTGTCGTCGGACAAGGCGGAGTGGAGCAGGATCATCGCCTCCACTTGTTCGTGGTCGCGAAGCACCATCCTCTGGTTCTTAAGGTTTCGATTGCGGCGTCGGAAGCGGCGCCGGAACTCCCTCCATTTTTCAGCGCCTGTTTGCCGCGGCATTGAAACGGCATCGTCCAGGGTATTGGTTCGCCTTTTGTGAGAATGAGGGCCAGCGGCCCAAAATTAAAGCCTAAAATGTAATGGACAACCGACAAGGTCAGGCCCATGTGTAGCCTTAAAGGTGATATGTTGTATGGGCCGAAAGCATGGATTATTAAGGCCGAATGCCTATAGGAAGAGAGGTCTTAAACTTAAATTTATAGGTTCGACTTTTAGAATTAAAAGGTAAAAATTTAGGTTGAACTAAATTAAATTATAATTAGCTTGGTTTGGTTCAGGTCGAATTAACGTATTAAGAAACTATTAAACCAAAACCAATCTTAACGATGTTGCTACATTGATTGGGGTATTGTTTAAGACTTGAATTGAATCAAATTGAACCACGCTTATCTCTACAAAGTGAACTCCACCTGTTAAATCACTTATTATTGATAATTGACATTTAAATTTACAATCTAAAATTGTAATTCATTTAGAGTATCATCTTCACATTCATATTGTTTATATCTCCTAGTTCTCCTTTATTTTGTTTAATATAAAAGAATATAACAAACTTAAAGAGTGCATGTGCATTAATTACTCCGTCTTTGTGTACATTCGCGTCATAAAATTCCGGTTCAACCTATAAACTGTATATAATGTGGATTAGTTGTGGGACCCACTCCACATTGAATTTCAACTATATGAACCATTTATTTTGTAAGTCTTGATTCATAGATCATCATTACAAAAATTTAATTCAATATAAAACCATTTAACTATTTAATTATCACGATGAAATTTCATTGTTTATTATAGAACAAAGTGTTCGTTAATTTATTTGAACTCATTTAGATATCTGAAGTATCCGATTTGGCTATATTTTCTAAGGATGATCTATGAGGTACAACTTGAATAATAGACGGTTCGGATCGTTGAAGTTCGATGTAATATGTACCTCACAACTAATTCCTATTTTAAAAAAATAAAAAATAAAAATAAAGATCCCTTCGCTTAAAGGCCTCATACGCGCGCGCACACACACATCCTTATACATGGTTTTCTAATTCTTATGATTGATCATGACTATTGTTAATAGTCGCTCACCATTCACCGATGTGAACTACTCTCCACCAACTAGTACACAACGAGGGAAGTAAGTCCTTGATGCAATATTGCCCGTTAAGATTCAAGAGAGGTGAGGAAGTTTGGTTTTCTTGATGTAATAATTAAACAACTCACAGAGTCACGAGTCTATGTGCCATGCACATCTCAACCTTGCATATTTCAAACTTCAGACATATGATTTTGTATGTATGATCACATTGTTCCATAAACATGCTCAATTATGTAAATGCCTTAGCATCTTGGTCAATTTTATTGAAACTTTAAACAATATTTTCGTCAAGGTGTGCACATCAAAAACATATAGCAATAAATTCCACCACTTATTTGGTGGATTAGAAGGACAATATTAGGAACGAGGATATCTGAGATAAAGTGTGAATAACTGCAATTGAAGATAGATGAAGGAAAATTGGTTAAAATGGTTGGATATGTGAACCGAAGACCTACAAATTCTCATGTTAGAGAATGCACTTTTGACACATAGGTTTAGGGTAATAGGGGTAAATGATGACTTGACGCAAAATTGAGCACAATGATGTTCCAGGATTCATACCATTGACCTGCTTAGTGGAACAAAGTTTTATTGTTGTATTTGAAGGATTTGAATGAATTATTGAGCTTTTGCAACTACATATGAACCAGCAGTGGTGGTGTTACATATTTTCAATGCTGGGCCTTGGGCATTTAGTTTTCCCATTAATATCCCAACGCCATTGCCAACAAGTAAAGGGCAAAGGAACAATAATAATATGCAGTTGGCAGGGAAATGTTTTCCAATTTCCGTTGTCTGAATAGTTTTTTTTTCTTTTCCTTTGACTTGTCACTTGTTCTTTCTCCATATAAACCAAATTCTCGTCCGTAACGGAGGCAGAATTTAAATCCCACCTGTCTTTTTTGCTTTTTGATCACCTAACTCTTACCATAGATTTCTTCCTTGTTAAATCATGTGTCATCAATAGGAATGACTACGTTTATCAACCTTTAAGTAATAAATCAGTCATCAACTTTCATGTCCTTTAGTTTCTAAAATTTTGTTTACAAATTTAGTCTCCTTGACATTACCCTTTGTTATATACGTGTAGTGTCGAAGACAACTTCCTAGCTTGACTATAAAAGTTATGACATTTTCTCTCTACGTTATATATTTTACTTTTTTGAGAGCTCGGAAGACTTACAAAGATATTTCAGCCTTCCCTTAACTATTATCATGTAATTCACCAGCGCCAGAGATTAAACCCAAAACGTGTCATATGGAATATGAGTCTGTAATTCGTCTCCTACCACTGAATCATTCCGTGGTGGTTCTAGATTTTGGTTTGAGTAGGTCAAATATTTTCTGACCATCGATGGCAGAAATTGCAATATTTTTGGTACATGAAAACGACTAGGATTTGAAAGTCCACAATTTTTCATACGATATAGAGAAGACAACAAGACAATTTAACAGAAGCTATTCTGATGAAAATGTCACTTTCAGTGGGGTTAAGAACTGCCATGCCATATTGACTTGTCACTTGTTCTTTCTCTAGCGCCAGAGATTAAACCCAAAACGTGTCATATGGAATATGAGTCTGTAATTCGTCTCCTACCACTGAATCATTCCGTGGTGGTTCTAGATTTTGGTTTGAGTAGGTCAAATATTTTCTGACCATCGATGGCAGAAATTGCAATATTTTTGGTACATGAAAACGACTAGGATTTGAAAGTCCACAATTTTTCATACGATATAGAGAAGACAACAAGACAATTTAACAGAAGCTATTCTGATGAAAATGTCACTTTCAGTGGGGTTAAGAACTGCCATGCCATATTGATGAAATGAAGTTCTCATGCTACCAAAAAATATACAAATTAAGAAATTGCATTTACCCTCCATTTATCATATTAACCATATGATCAAATACAATTCTGACCTGAAACATACAAAAGTTTATATGTTCTGTCGTTCACATACGGAATTGCAAGTGATGGTCTAGACTGTTCTTATCTGACAATGCGTTAACAATTAGGATTGTAGACGATTGACCAAAGCATTCCTAACCAATAATGCATCAATGATGAAGAATTTTGGAATACCAGAGCAGCCATGACCCACAATGCATCAATTGTTAGAAATTTTGGATATCAACGATGAGGAATTGTAGATAATAATCATCAAATATCTTACCTACCATCCATCAACAATAGGCGACTAACATGATTAGCTATGACTTATTATGAATCAACGATTATAAATTATGAGCAACTGACAATGTCAAACTCAACTAAGAACTGTGGAGAATTAGAATGCATCAACAGTTAGAAATAACGAGAACTAACATTGGGAGAGAACACACGAGTATAGCGAGCAATGGCAATGGAAAAGCTTCCACAAAATAGGCAATGCCTCACCTTTGCGACGAAATGGTGGATAATGGATAAATGCTTCGGTTTAAAGACATGCCGTTTTTGAACTCCGAATCAACCCAACAGGGTGGTAAATCAGTAAAATCACACCTTTCCAACCGTTTCATTTAAATTCCCACGAAAATAACCCACACGCGCCAGACCTATCAACAAAACCAACGGTCGTTTCACACTTCACAGTGGGAATGTTGGAAATTTGATTTTTAGTGGGCTCAAAAATATGTTTGATTCTTTAATTTATAAAATATGCTATTTTTGTATGTGAAAATACTTAATAGGTCTTGGTCTTGTAAATTGAGAACTTCTTAGAATTTTGCGCTTGAAGTTGATAGACTGAGAGATTTCGATCACTTAATTTAAATCATGCGGTCCCTATTAGCTTATTTCACTGATACATCTCACACAAAAATAAGTCCTTAAACCGTCCATATGTCATATGTCCTGACATCGAAATGCGTGCAGAATCAACACGTGACGTTAGGAAGTACCTATTCAACTATTACGCCTCGCTTCTGAGTCATAATTTAATTGCACTCAAATTGTTTATCTACCTTTAGTTGCCACTCTCAAGTACGTCTTAAGCTTTTCTCGAGCGCTTGTCGAGTCATTTTTATTGTCTTGAGTGTCATATTTACTTCTTGTTATATTATTCGAGAGGTGTTGAAAGCGCTCGAGTTGTTTTTGAAGGGTCTCGATCAATAGTACCATAGAACAGAGTTTTCTTATTTCGTATGTGAAAAAGAAAACAAGGGTATCAATTATTTTGAGCCTCTAAAAATAGATAAATTTGAAACTTCCCCTTTTCACGATTAAGTCCAGCCGTTGGATGAGATAGAAGCTTCATCCGTGGAGCGAATAGAATTGATTTAAACAGCCGCGCGAGTCGACGTTTGAAAGAGGCCTCCGGCTTATTGTCTTTCCCGCGGCCATTAAATGAAACCCTCTCTTTGTTGTCCTGCACAAAATCTGAAAAATTTTAACGGTCATTTTAGAGAGAGAAAGTAGAAGCTGTCTCTCTCTCATCCGTCACAACAAACAACAAGACTTACTTATTTACACAGAAAAATTAAATGCAGAGCTCCAACCACCATTTCCAGCAATCAAACATGTCCATCTCACATTCACACTCCACTTTTAATTAGCCTCTCTCTCTCTCTCTCTCTCTCTCTCTCTCTCTCTTATCTCCCTCTTCAGCCTAAGCCTGTGCATTTTTCTGTGGCTAGGGAGAGCTTTTGGGGATTTCCGATGTGGAACTCGGCGGAGAACGTGTTCGCGAGATCGGGGTCGTTTCGGGAGGAAGGGGACGATGAGGAAGCGCTGCGGTGGGCCGCGCTGGAGCGGCTCCCGACCTACGCTCGAGTACGGCGCGGCATTTTCAGAAACGTCGTCGGAGACACCATGGAGATCGACGTCAGCGAGCTCGAGGCTAAGGAGCAGAAGCTCCTTCTCGACCGGCTTGTTAGCTCTGCCGACGACGACCCCGAGCAATTTTTCGATCGCATGCGCCGAAGATTTGACGCGTAATCCTCTTCAATTTTACTA